CCAAGAAGGGGTGCTGCGCTTGCCCCATTCCTCAGGTGCTTCTCAGGGCACTTGCCATGTTCTGCCCGCACTCATGGCTCTTTAGGTACATCTACTAGAGTCTGGTCAATCCCGGAACACACATTTCTCTTCCCAACCTTGGAGGGCCTCACTCCTGAAGTAACTCCAACTTGTTTCTTGATGGACAACTGAAAAAGGTTGACTCATTTTGTTGAGCTTGTGAACCAGAATCCTACATATGAAAGCAGCTGTTGTAAAGTGAACAACTACCTATCAGCAACAACACCAGGAACACCAACACATTTCGTGTGGGCTGTGAATGTTCCGCATGCCGCGTGCCATATGTTCTTAATAAACATCCAATGCTCCTGTGAGTATGCCGCTTAGGAGGGATTCCACAGGAATCTTTACTGAGAACAGGAGGACATGTGATTCTAGAAAGGAGCATAAAATAGCCAAAGGGATACTCTCTTTCTGGTCAGAAGTTTCTAGGAGATAGCTTATTTATTTATTTGTTTATTTTTTGTACAGAAGCCTTTATACCACTCTGTGTCTTGCAAAGAACAGAAAATTGCAATAGCTTTGCATTTTGGGCTTATCCTGGAGGCCTGTTGAGACGGCAACCTCTGTTGTATTTATTTCCTGGATCTTGGTAAGAATCCCGTTGTTAAGCCTCTTCGGCAAAATCTTGGTTGTAAGTCTAACTTGACAGGATGGGTTTTGCTTACTTTGCGAATGGGGTGGGAGCACAGTGACTAACGCCCCTATAGGGCAGTGGACGGGCCTCTTTTTTATGCATCAGAGCCTTCTTCCTAAGCTCCTGCTCCAGGGAGGCTGCGCTGCTGGATCTACTCTGATGAAGGTTTTTGCTGGTCTTTCTTCCTCTCGCTCTTCTACCATAGGGGTCAAAGGTTCTCTTGCTTCCCTAAAGGTTATAGCATCAGGGACAGTGATAGTTGCTCTCCTAATACCAGGCGTGCACTAATTCTGGGAGTGTGGGACATGGTTAGCAGCTGGTTAAATGGATCTGATGATCAAAATGACTTTTTGCCTTTGAGACCCTATTTCAGACATTAGAATCCCTTGTCAGACCATTGGCCTGATTTTAAGTTTGGAAAATAATCCCTAAGGCCACTAATAATTCATAAGGCCACTCCTGTGTGTGTGTGTGTGTGTGTGTGTGTGTGTGTGTGTGAGAGAGAGAGAGAGAGAGAGAGAGAGAGAGAGAGAGAGAGAGAGAGAAGGGCCCCCAGAAGCCATGTGAAGGCCACTGAGGGTGCCCAGGAGGCCTCTTCCAAGTCTCTGGGAGAGATATCAGGCTAGAAAGGGCCTGGTGCCACCTATGCCACCTTAGCCCACTCCCTTCCTTCCCCCACTCCTTTGGGCTGACTTTCTTCTTACATGCAGTGCCTCTGCCTGTGATGTCTTTCCTTTCTTTCTGAAACCAGGGCCCTCCTATTTCTCCTTTAAGTAAGACCATGTAATAGTTACTTCCCCTTTCTGACCGGTTTCCAGGGCCCTGACAAACTCTGTGTTGCCCTCTTTAGTTTCCATCTACATGTGCTGTAGCATTTATCGTTTGGCAGTAAAATTACTTATACTTTACCACCCTAATGAGACTGCACGTTTCATGCTTCTTAGTATCTTCCCGAGAGCCTGGCAATGAGCATGCTAGCAAGAGGGTGCTCAATATGGGTTGAATGAATGAATGGAGGCCAGACTTTTGGGCCTCAAATATCCTCATATATAAAAAGCCAGGGGCTGTCACGACTGAAACCACCAGACTGACCACCAAACAGAAGGTTGCATGAGGCAACCAGGCCGGCAGGGGGACTTAGTGAGGACAACCAAACGACTAAACAGCAGGCTGTGTGGGGTGACCAGGCTGGCAGGGGGGCAGTTGGGGGCAACCAGGCTGGCAGAGGGGTGGGGGCAGTGAGGGGCAACCAGGCTGGCAGAGGGGGGTCAGTGAGGGGCTACTAGGCTGGCAGGGTGGGCAGTTAGGGGCCACCAGGCCAGCAGAGGGGGGCAGTTGGGAGTGACCAGGCCAGTAGAGGAGGCAGTGAGGGGTGATCAGGCCAGCAGGGGGCCCATTAGGGGTGACCAGGCCAGTGGGGGGGCAGTTGGGACGACCAGGCCAGCAGGGGGTAGTTGGGATGACCAGGCCAACAGGGGGGCAGTTAGGGGCAATCAAGCTGGCAAGCAGAGGCAGTTAGAAGTGATCAGGCTGGCAGGGGGCGAAGTTAGGGGTGATCAGGCAGATAGGAAGGCAAACAGTTAGGAGCCAGTGGTCCTGGATTGTGAGAGGGATGTCCAACTGCCACTTTGGGATCGGGCCTACACCAGCAGTCTGACATACTGGCAGTTAGACATCCCTTGAGGGGTCCCGGATTGGAGAGGGTGCAGGCTAGGCTGAGGGGACATCCCCTCATGCATGAATTTTGTGCGCTGGCCTCTAATAGTTACTACAAGATCACAATAATCTGTTTAGAACTTGTTTATTGGATTATTTAGCTATCTATGGTTTTATGCATACGTATTCATGTTCTCTAGTATTTAGAAAATTCTTTTGAAAATGACCAGTGTCTTAATCATGTTGCAATAGTGACTTCTTGCCTCATGCCTATGCAGGGCATTCTTTCCAGGGCCAGCATGGGGGTGGGTGAACTCTAGGACAACAGAGCTATGGCCAGCTCTTTTTTCATAATCTTAGAGTACATAATCTTAGACTACATAAGGTAGTTTTTGTCTTTTGTTTTTTGCTATTGGAAGTTGTCCCCTCATAGTTGGTATTCCCGGTAGTAACAGAAGCACCAAGGCAATCAAGGCCTTTCCACGCATCTGCAAGCATCCTCATGAGCACGTTTTGTTCCAGGGAACTCTCAACTTGTAATGAGGAAAGAGAACTCCTAGCAAGTCCATTTATCATAGGACTGCAGAAAGTGAAAGGTAATCCTTTTTAAAACGTGAGTTATGGAGCTTTGTGATGTGCCATTTATCCATGTCTGTGTGGAAAGGAAGGACGCAGGCAGTTTGTTACTCACACAGATTGTGCTCTCCCTGTGTTTAGAGCCCTCCTCCCTGCACAACACACAGCGGCACTCTGACATGACAAGTTTCGATGAAAACATTAAGCAGCCCAGAGTTGCTTGTTACCAAAGTGGAATTGGTATTTGAACACATACTTGGCAAGCAAGCTATTTAATTATTAGGCTTCTGTGTCTATTTAGACACACCTTGCTTTCATGCTTAATATCACATGTGAAACATATTTCCTTGGAAGAAAGCTGAACCACTTCAGAAATTGTACATCTTCTAGAACTCTTAAGCAGGAAGGTAAATTTTAAAAGAAGGATAAAAGGGATTAGTCATAAATTTGAAAGGACTCAATAAGAAAATGAAAGGAAGGATTCTTACATTTCTTTTCCCTCCCCTCAAAAATGGTATTGACGTGTAGCCACAAACCTTGGCTGAATGGAACAAAATGGCACTATTTGCACTCACAAAAAATGGATAACACGCACAACATTTAGCTCCTAGTGTTAAGAAGTCAGTATAAATCAGAAAGAGAAAACCAATTGTCTCCAGACTTCCTCTTTTTAAAAAACTTACAGAAGCTTTTGCATGGACAAATGGATCAAATGACAAGGGTGTCCTAATGTACTTGAGGTCATATCCCTACCAGTATTCAAGTTTATAGGGCTCATGACAACAGACATTTATTTAGCACCTCTTCTCCAGTTCCCCACATCTCACATGTATTCTAGGGCCTAGTACTGGTCTTCCTTTGATGTTTAGCACCTGGGTCCACCTGGAAGATACTGGTGTTTGTAGAATACTTAGCATAATCCCAGGTACTTAGTAGACATCCAAAACATATAACCAAGTGTGAAGGGAAACATGGATAGGACCTTCAGGAAGTCATGGTTCTAAACTCAGGTAGGTAATGAGCACTTAGTCTTATCAACTTGCTAAGACATAAATGGCCAAGGCTTGGGGAGGCACAGTGGAGCAGAACCATGAGAAGGGTTTGCAGTCCGTCCTTTGTGATTGCTGTCCTCTTCAGTCTACCACACTACCTACGGGGGACCATCGCTGCCAAGACTGCCATTCTTTCTAGCAGGAGGGAGCCCTGGCCAGTCCCACCGTTTCCACTGTCAACTGACTTCTCTGCATTACACAATTAATTTTTATCAGATGTTTTGAATAACATCCTTCCTCCTCCATTATGGTGAATGCTTAAAATTACATTTATATGAAATAACATTTACACAAACTTCTATTAAAAGCCAAATTTCAGGCATACGCTACTGGCCAAATGATTAAAAATGGATATTAAGTCGGGCCAGCGTGACTCAGTGGTGGACCTATGAACCAGGTCACAGTTCTATTCCCGTCAGGCTCGATCCCCAGTAGGAGGCGTGCAGGAGGTGGCAGATCAATGATTCTTTTAGGTTTCTCTCTCCCTCTTCCTTCTTCTCTGAAATCAATAAAAATACATTTTTAGAAAAGGATATTAAATAAATTAGTTGAGCTGATTAAAAACACCTTCATCAAAGTAGAACCCTGGTGCCAACAATAGCTAAGAGTTGAATTACTGATTTTGAAATAGCAGATGGTACAATAATAGGGAGGAAAAGTGACTCCCCCCATCACTTTGCAGGGTGGGTGTCAGATGGGGAATTACTGATGTGTTGCTGGAGAGCCAGGAAAAAGAGCTGACGGAATGAGGGTGGGTAGAGGGTGGGGCTTGGGTAAGGGAGAGGGAGTGAGGCGGGCGCCCAGGTCAGATGCCTAGAAGGAGGCTGAGGAACTGTCACCTCTGCTCAGGAAGGGCCGGGCCGCACTCCCGCTGCCGGCCGCCAGGGGGCGCGGGCGGCGCCGGCGGAGGGCGCTGCGCTGAGAAAGGGTCAGCCGGGCTGCAAGGGCGGCGGCGGCGCAGCTCCGCTCCCCGCGCGTCTCAGTTCCCGCGCCCGGCAGGCGCGCAGCCCGCTGCCCGGATGCGGCCGCCGGCCCGCCGCGGCGCGCTCCTGGCGCGGCTTTGGCTCCTCACCTGCTCGCTGGGTAAGTAGCGGGCGGCCGGGCGTGCACAGGCGGGGCGCGGGCTTCAGGGCGCCCAGGGCAGCGCCGGCGATCAGCCCCGAAGCCCAGGGTCGGCCGTCTGCACCCCCTCCCGCAGCAGCGCCCCCTCGCGGTGCCCGGTGGACCCGGCGGCTCGGGAACACGCCGGCCTGGCCCCTCTCGGCTGCCGGTTCCTGCCGCGGCCGGTCAGCCGCGTCTTCCGCCTCCTCTGCCCGGGGGTGGCCGCCGCCGAGCGTCACTCCCACAGGAAGCGCGGGTAGCTGCGCGGCGGCAAGAAACTTTGGAAGGAGGGACGCGGGCCCGCCCCCCCCGGACCCCCCCTCCCCCCGGCCTCCCGGTGCGCTGCCCCCAGTGCCCCCCGCACCGCTCAGTCCCCGGAATCTCTGGGCGCGCCCCCACCGGCTCCCTTCCCGCCGGCACCCCGCACCGCCCCCACCCACCCCGCCGAGCTCACTGCGTGGGCCGGAGGACATGCCCTGGCCCCCGAGGCTGTGATGCCAACTTAGCACCGGCCCCTCCCACCGCCCATCGCCCACCGCCCACCCCGGATTCCCTGACTAGGAAGACGGGTGCCCGGCCTCTGCACGGGGGCCCGCCTGAGCCCCCTCCCCCAGTCCTGGGTCTTTGTGGGGGGAAAGCAGAGAACACTGTGCCTGTCAGACCTGGGCTGCAGTGCCCCCTCCCATTTTTTTTTTTTTTTACATCCTCACAAGAGCTAGTTAGTTCTCCCCTTTATCATAAAATTATGTTGATAAAAGTTTTCCTTTTAAAATAATTGTAATTAACTTTCATGATGCGATCTGTTCAAGTTTGAAAGCTTGTGGAAACATGCTTCTCTCTTCAGTGTTCGCAGGGTTATTGTCGCCTCACCCAGACTTTTGTGTGTCCAGCCTAAGAGGCAGGGATTTCTAGACCTGGCAGAAGGGTGCCATGTAGGAAAAGATGTGGTGCTGTTTGTTGCACGTCACTGCTTGGTGGCCCACCTACAGGAACTTTTGCTGCCTGGCTTTGCTTGGATTTAAGCTTTCTGAGTAAGGACCTTATTTTCCCACCTCTGGCATTTCTATAGGTGCTCAGTGTGGAGAAACTGAGTGGGATCAATTGGTAATTAATTGCCCACGCGCATGATTTAGTAACAGTGCTATTAAACATGCGCGGGCAACCTGGACAGAGGGGCTATGATGGACTGTTGGGAGCCACCCAAGTTGGCAAAGATCTGCTCTAGCGGAAGGAAGTGCACTCCTGGGGCAGCCCTGGGAAGGGAGGCTGGAGGGAGTGGGAGAGGTGACTGCTAACTACATTAGTTGGCCTGTTGCCTGGAACTTCTTCACCTAAGGAAAGCTGGCGGGTGGTAGCTGAAATTAAGATTCTATTTATAGCCCGGTGTTTTATAGTGCTGTCCTGGAAATATAAGGTTTGTTCATAACACAGTCAACGTATGGGCTGAAAGGCACATTTGTATTGCTGTGTGTGTACTGATTTTTATTGCCCTTGAGGGGATATCTGCACTGTCCAAAGTTGGTACTATGTGAAAGGACATTCGGAATGAACTGAAATGTCAACACATTTTTTAGAGATGTCTATTAGCATTGTGAGGTTGTCAGATAAGCACAATAAATTAGATAGTATCTATGAAAAGTTCCCTGAGAACTGGCTTTGTGAACTGGCTTTCATGGATTGGTGCAGACTGGAAGCTGTATTCTTGGAGAGCTGAAATAAATAATGAATTCGTTTTATTGAGCTCTGTTAGGGCAGGTTGAGGAGCACTTTACAAATCTTGAAATCAAGATTCTTGGAATCTAGCTGAAATAGAGTTCTGAGGCATTTGGACACTCCTGATAGTATTTAAAAATACCTAAACATTTCCTTATAAGGTTGGCCTGACTGAATATAGTTTATTTTCCCCACAACTTATAGCATATTCATTAGAGAAAAATCCATATGGAAAATTTGTTTTAAACACTTAAAACAGACAAAATTCACTGCAATTTCAGTTCTATAATCAGAGATTTATTCATGCTTTTAGGTCAGCCACTGTGTTATTTCTTATGGTTGCTCTATAAAATGAGAGCCATAGACTACATAAAATACTGAAACTTTGCTTGGCTAGTGTCTCACTCCCCAGTACGGGGCATGCAGGAGGCAACCAATTGATGATCTTCTCATCGATGTTTCTGTCTCTATCCCTCTCCCTTCCTCTCTCTAGTAATCATTAAAAAAATAATACTGGGATGCATGCAAATAGAGGAAAGGCCATGGGAGGACACAGCTAGATGGTCATCTACAAGCCAAGGAGAGAGGTCTCAGTAGAAACCAGCCCTGCTGACACCTTGATCTTGGACTTGCAGCCTCTAGAAATATGAATAAATAAATTTCTGTTGTTTAAGCCAACCAGTCAATGGTTTTCTGTATGGCAGCCCTAGAGGACGAATACAGTGGGCAAGGGGAAGGGTGAGGAATGCTAATGGTGTGGCAGTGTGTCCAATGGTTTCTCAGTGGCCCTTGCAAATATGGGTAGCCAGGGAGTTCTCTATAGAGATTTGGGGGGGGGGGTGTGGAAGGGGACAGTGTCTTGGCAAAGCTTATTAAAGGTGGCTGACCCAGCTGGATGCAGGCCATTTTTGCCATTGTTTCATTCTCCTCATTTCCTGTTACGTGAATTCGATGGCTGGAGCTATGGTGGCCTTCTTGTGACCATCAGGTGACTTTGACAGAAGCCAGTGGTAAGTATGGTAGAGCAGAAAGGATAGTGAGCACCTGGGTGCCAGATGGGTGTGGAGCACTATATCACCTACCCTGTTTCCCCGAAAATAAGACAGTGTCTTATATTAATTTTTGCTCCCAAAGATACCCTAGGTCTTATTTTCAGGGGATGTCTTATTTTTCCATGAAGAAGAATACGGTACACATTTATTATTAAATGAAAATAAAGGAAATTTATTACCTGTATACGGTACAGTAGTACGGTAGTTGTCAACACAAACCAGACAAACTGTGAATCCTACAGTATCAAGAATTTACTCATTTATTCAATGACAATCATGTCATCATCTTCTGGAACATCATCATAACAATCCAATTCCTGAATTTCCTGGTGAATTTCTTGTGACTCCATTTCTTTCAGAATCAGTGGACCATATCTCTCATGTTTAGCACTAGCATTCTGAGACAGAGCCTAGGGGGGGCCTTATTTTCGGGGGAATGCCTTATATTTCACTCAGAAGGAAACCTGTAAGTAGGTCTTATTTTCGGAGGATGTCTTATTTTTGGGGAAACACGGTATTACCTGACGTGTATTGCCCGAGACTAAAAATAAACTTACTCTGTCTTATTTAAGCATCAATTGTCTGGGTTGTCTATTAATCCTAATTGGTACTTCTGTGTACCAAGTAATAGAATGTCTTTCTTATCTCTGTTTATGCTCTGTATGGGTCAAGATTGTATGTCTTAGTACCTGCCAAAATTAAGGATAATTTTTATTCTGAGCCACATTTTGCTCAGGTCCTTTTTACTGCAGTGAGCCAGACATTTAGAACACCAAGTATCAGACCTAACTGTTTTTTGGGGGGGCGTTTTTAAATTTTTGATTTTTAATATCTTTTATTTCTAAGGCAACACACAGACATTAGTGATACAGTTTGACAATCTGGATGGATTTGTTGTTGTCTGGGTAGCCTAGGACTCCCAAGTTGTCCTGGCTCCCTTGCTCATGAATTTGACCCCAGGGAGTTTGCCTATAGCCAATACTCAAGCTCTTTGGGCTAGGGTTGGGAGGCCGTGGGATGGGAGGTGGAAAGGGCCTTTTTCAAATGGGGGTGGAGTGGGGAGGAGGTGTTGAGACTTTTTGTTATCTTCCTTTTCGGCAAATTTGCGGGCATACAACTTGAGCAAGTCTCTATAACTGACCTCATTCAGAACACACCTTGAGCAGGGCTGAGTTTATATTTTCTCATTAGGAACACATACTAGTAAAGCAAGCATAATATCTAGACACAAAGGGATTACTATGGGGAATTGGCAAATGTTACAAGTTTTGCCTCCGTAGCATTAAGTGTGATCCATTTTTGTTGTTGCACAGATTCTTGCTTAAGAATTATATATATTATAGGAGTGTTAATTCCATCTCTCCCAAAAGAAAGGAAAAGTGAGTGCTGGGATTCATCAGACCCATCATTGATCCAGAGGCTTCTTTAATACCCTATATCAAAGCATTGTTCACCAAGCCCTCTTAAAGAAACCCGATTCAGTGTAGGTTTTGATTTGGACTACTGAAGGTTAACAATTTAAAAGTAGTACTAAAACAGTAGGAAACTTTGTACTCAAAGTTTTTTCCATTTATTCAAAAAAGGGTTGAATATCTAATTATGTATCAAGGATTGGGGGATATTGCAGAAAGAAGACAAATCTAGTTCCTCTCTGGCCTCATGGAGCTTGGAGTCTTGAAGGGAAGGTGACATTAGTTAGTATTTTGCTGGAAACTAGGTAATTGCAGCTGTACCCAGTGCTGTGTATCTTCATTCAGGGAGATGTGTGGCTTTAGCAGGGAGTCTAGGTACATCAATGGTTCTCAACAGGGATGGAGATGGTGGGGTGGTCCCGGAATGTTTGTCCTTGCCTAGAGACTTTGGGGCTATCATGGGGTGGTTTGTCAAGGAGTCCTACTGGCATCTGGAGTTGAGTGTTGAACATTGCTCAACATGTTGTTGAACAATGAATGCAGAAGACACCCCTCCCCCAAAGAATCAGGTATCTGGTCCAAAGTGTCAGTAGTGCCATTGAGAAACCTTGGAGGAGGGGCTCAAGAAAGGCTTCCTGGAGAACTCAGAACTGAAGGGGGAGCAGTAGCCAGTGGAGGGCAGAAGGGAGCAGGTCAGGTAGCTGGGAAAGCTTGGTGCTGGAGGAATAGGGTGAGAAGGGTCTGGAGAAGTTGGGAAGACCAGTAGGGAACTGATTCTGCAGGGTCTTGGAGACCAGGGTGAGCA